CCTGTCGACATATCCAACTTGGTACCTAGCACCTTGAAGATAGCCGACATAAATTTTCCCGTGAAACGAAGGTTCTATCACAGACAATCGACTCTGGGAGTCCGTTTGTCGGAAAACACGATCCACAAACAGCGTTGCTGTACCGACCCCGTCAATGGTGTCTGGCACCGCCGCCAAATGAGCCATCTTTCTCAACCGGTCGACGAATACCACGACACCCGTGTTGCCCGCCGAATTTTCGGCAGGTCAAACACAAAGTCCAAACTCATGGACTGCCAGCACTCAGTGGGAACCGGTAAGCTGGCCAGCGGCGCAGCCGCATTTGGAGAGAGTTTTACCCGTTGACACGTCTCACACGTGCCCACCGTCCATTTGTACAGCTTGGGCCACCAATAGTGGTGACTCACAAAGTTGTACGTTTTCTCACGACCCAGACGACCACTGAGTGACGTGTCGTGAGCCTCATAGAGGATGCGATATTTCAAATCCTCATCATGAGGAACCACAATTCGTGGTGTAACCGTTGAATCGATGCTATAATATAGCAAGCAGAATATCGGTGCAATCGTGCACGCAGTCTTGGTGACGATTTCTTGTCCAAGTCTCCAAAATCCTTGCTCCCGAGAGCCCGTAGCAGCACTACACACATCCCATCACCCGCATACGTGGTGCGGATCAAACGACGTTACAGTTGTAACATGAACAAGCTCATAGTCTGGTCTACGTGACAACGCATCAGCCAAAGCATTCTGCTTTCCCGGCTCATACTTCACCTCGAAGTTATATTCCGCAAATAAGAAGAGCCATCTAGCCATCCTCTGCGAGAGGTGGGGCGACTGAGTCGCAGTGCGTAGTGACGCATGATTTGTATACATCACAAACGGCTTGGAGCCGAGCAAGTGGACCCTGAACTTTACAAGTGCATACTTCATCGCAAGTAGCTCCTTGTCATGAACTGGGTAGTTCTATTCCGCAGCTTCGAGCTGCCGAGATTCGAACGCGATCACCTGATCTCGCCCCTCGGCGTCTGCTTGCAGCAGTCACTGTTCTAGAGTCATATATGTTAGTTGAGTACAACAGCCAGAGTCTCGAGATGTGTGTCTAACCATTGATCAATTGTTTCGACAGTACAAAAGATATTTTCAAATAAATTTCCAGTGCAACGCTTAAATATAAAGTAAGCGCTTAACGTGACATCAGACGTTATCACATATCTCCATTTTAAAACATACCCACAAAGTCCGTTGCAGATACAGCCTTTTCATTAACTATGTTCAGACGTCATCGAGGTCATCTCCATACCTGTAATATGATTGGCTGGTTGCAAAGGCTGGCTTTGTAGTTGCTGACAGGAGTAAGGTGATTCACATATGTGGGTAATTAGGTACACTTTGTTAACGACGCGGAGTCAAGCAGCAATAAAGTGGTCTGAGGTCTACTAGACCCCTTGCCAGATAGTGTTTTATCACTTTTGCGATAAGTTGTGTGATGTTCTAGACAAAAAATAAATAATAACATATTTAATCTTAATTCAGTATTTTGATAAGCTAGCCAGTACTGTTTAAGTAATTAATGGTTTTGGTACTTGAATAGGTTGAGTTGAGGTCCAACAAAATAATTTTAATCATTTAACAAATAAAACTCATGACTTCAAAGCTAATTCAAATGGATTGAAATTGAAAATAGGTCTATATTTTGTATCGATATAACTCAGCGATGCCAATGTTCTAAACCACTGTTCTGGAGTCATACATGTTAGTTCAGTACAACAGCCAGAGTCTTGAGGTGTGTGTCTGGCCATTGCTCAATTGTTTCGGCAA